ACACACACACACACACACACACACACATATATACATACACACACATATAGTATATGCATATATTAACCTACTATATTAAAAAACACAAATAGGATTCCTCTAATTTAAAACCAGCATCACACACAATCTAATCTTATCCCATCCTGTACTGCAATTTCTCGAAAAGTAAGAAATCTATTTTTTGTTGCAGTATCATATAAAAAGGGAATTATGCAGACTATATTCTTTGACTCTTCTTTTACTCAAGACATCTGCAAGGTTCTCCCATGTTTTTAGTTATATCAGTAGTCAGCATCTTTTTATATCTGAGTAATGCCACAACTTGTTTATTAATTTTCCTGTTGGTAGACATCTGGATTGTTTCCAGCTTTGGCTTATTATGAATAAATTTCCAATGAGTGTTTCTGAACAGGTCTTTTCTGGACATATGTTTTCATTTCGCTTGGCTAAGTACCAGACAGGAATTGCTGAGTAAAAGGGAAGGAGTTATGTTTAACTTTATAAAAATCTGCCAATTTTTCCCCCAAAGTAGTTATAAAAATCTAACATTTCCACCAAGTAGGAATGCTCTTATTTTTCCATATTATAAAATATTTGATAGGGTCAGCCTTTATTCATTTTAGTTAATATTATTTTAAAACTACTTAATCCAGTGTTGATTGAGAATATGTTATAATCTCTAATGATATTTTTTGAAATTTTCTTCCAATTTCTGTCAATTTTGTTTCATATAATTTGAAACTCTTGCTATTAGGTTCATATTTATAACTATTTTTTCTTGATTAACTACTTTGATGTTACAAAATGTTCCATTGTGCTTCTATTAACACCTTAAAGTCTACTTAATACTAATATGGTCACTTTACATTTTGTTTACTCTCTGCATTAAATATTTTTTTCCACTATTTTCATTTTCAAAATATCTATCTTTATATTTAAAGAATATCTTTTGTAAACAGCATATAGTTAAGCCTCATTTTTATTCATCTACTCTAAAAATCTACTTTTATGTAGGGGTTCTGGTTTACTTATGCTATTTTGACCTAGTTGTACTCAAACCTAAAATTTTTACTGGTTTTGTGTTTGTGCCATCTTTTTTTGTTTCTCTTTCTTCCTTTCCATACTTTTTTCTCAAATTATCAAATATATATGTACATATAATTATTTCTAATTGCATAGTCATGTATTTTTAATTTATTTTTATTTTTATTTTTTTGTTACCAGGTATCGAACTAAGGACCTTGCGCTTGCGAGGCAGGCAATGGAACTATTGAGCTAAATCCCCGGCCCAAATCATGTATTTTTTAAAGAAACAAAGAACATATATAAAGTCTTTTACATTTACTTACATTATGTCCAGTGTATATTCATTCCTGCACATTGAAATTTCCATTTGGTGTGATTTTCCTTTAGATTGAAAAACTTACTTTTAGCCATCCTTTAGGTCTTTAAGGAAGAGCTGCCATCAATGAGTCAAATTGCCAGAAATCATCTTTTACTTTATGTTCATTATTTGAAGTATAGTATTGTTTTACAGATACATTTCTGAGTCAAAAAGGATCTTTTTCTTTCTTCTTTCATGACTTTAAATATAAAATTTCATTCTCTTCTGGACTCTACTTTTTAAAATGAGAAGTCAGACATCCTTGAAAGCACTGTTACCCTATGTGCCATGTACTATTTCCTGAGACTGCATTTTCAGGATTTTTCTCTTCTACCACTGGACATCCTCAGTTTCATTATGATGTTCTGAAGTGTAATTTCCTTTGCATTTATCTTACTGGGGGTTCACTGAGCTTCTTAAGTCTATAACTACTTTTTGAAGCCAAACCTATTTGAAAAATCTCTGGTCATTATTTTTTCAAATGTCTTTTCTTCTTCCTTTTTTTCTGTTGTCTTTTTCAGACTCCAGATGCACAGGTGTATATAATAACAGTAAGACATAATGCCTATGTATTTCTAAATAAATTTAAATATAAAGTAAATATATAGGATTGATTAGGACAGTTTTCTTTGAAATTTCATTCACTGATGATATTCTAAATATAGAACACCAGAATACATACTATTAAAACATGACCCATTCAGTATTACAAAATAAAAATAAGCTTTACGTTCAAGTTACCAACTGAAATCATTTTGGAGTTTGAAGCATTTCAGATTTTTGGACTTTTGGATTAGGGATGCTAAAGAGGTACACTCTATGTAGATATTCAAAAATCCAAAAACTTGGAAACACTTCTGGTCCCACACACTTTGAATAAGGGAAATTTAAACATGTAGTACAGAAATTTAGAAAACTCATAGCAAATCAAGCTTATGTTCTGTATACCTTTGTAAAGTTTCATTTCTCTAATAACTCATTTGTTACTTGAATTTACATTTTATAAAAGTGCTCATCTCAAAGGATTGGAAATTTTATAAAAGATTAAAAAGAATAAATCTTCATCACAGTTTGATAAAACATTATCCTGGACTATGGCACCTAGAACACTGTACTTGTATTTTTTTATGACTTTCAATTTTTACACCATAATTCAGAATTAGGAAAAATGAAGCACAATATAAATAACATGTGTAAGCACAGTGCCAGGCAAATAGCAGGTAGGTATTTTTCCAGTATTTCTTCACTCATATAGCATATATTATCATAGTTATTCTGTGCCTCCAAGTTAGAACACAACATCCATGAAGGCACAAATCTGACCATTGCAAATTAGTGGAAATAACAAATAACAGTATTACATTTTACCAGCAATTTTCATATTCTTCCAAATATATTATTAGCAATACTTAGCTTTAACCAAAGATTATGATCGAAAGAAGGTGAAAATGTTATCTATTCCTGAAATATTGCTAGTATTGGAACAAAGCTAAAATACAAGAAAATGGAGCCTATAAAAAACATTGATCACCAACAGATTTTACACTAAGGTGCTACAGAAAGAATGTAAAGTATCTGTATTTTGAATATCACTTATAAAGTTAAAAACAGTAATATGAGGGCTGGGGATTTAGCTCAGCAGTTCGGTGAGGGCCAGAGTTCAATCCCCGGTACCAAAAAAAACCCCACAAAAAACAAAGAACAGTAATATGTACTCTGGTGAGTCTATCTGTAAAACTTACTGATTCCATAAGAGCCACAGGAATACTAGAAGCTTACAAAAAACAAATTAATTAAAATACTGAGAAGAAATTTATAAAGCACAGATAAAAGTGGTAAATACACCTAAAGCACAAGTAAGAGAGTTAAGAAACATAATAATGGCAGATAAAATGTCCTTTAAAGACTAAAAAGCATCAAAAAGCCTAGCTGAAGATTAAAGAAAATAGACTGCTTAGTTTTGTACAACTATGAACAATGACATGAAATTAGAAAGGAAATAATATGAGGAAATGGACCAAGAAAAATACCATGAATAAATGAGATCTACTAATTTTTTAGAAGAGTTATAAAAGAAAATTCTGGGTAAACACTCTGACTATTATTTCTATCTATGGATAGAAAATGGAAAAGCTGACTGTAGCAAATCTGAAATATCAACTAATCAACCACTATTTTATTTTGATCGTACTCACTATATACAGATTTATAGTTAATGCCAAAGAAGTCATAAGAGAAGAATGAGACAAAGTCTCCTCTCCAAATATTTGCAGTAAGATTCACTTCTGATTAAAGATGAAACAGGAATAAATAGTCCTAACATGTCTTTGCTTCTGGTATGTCTATCAAGTAATAGTGTAGAAACTTAATACACAGGATTAGGAGTAATATGAACTCTTAAGAAAATCTGAACTTGTGCTGCCCAAAACAATAGCCATATATATGGGGAAGAGCAAAATATTTGGATTTAAAGAACTTACTACAAAAAAATAAAATGTATTATTAAACATATTTCACCTCTTTTTAGTTTTTAAAAGTATTAGTAAAAAGGTTTTAGTTACTTTGCTTGTTTCCATTAATTTCGATGGACATGCTGCTCTAACTAAATAGCATAATAAGAAAACTGGTAAAAAAGCAACATTACTTATCTTCAGCTATTAAGACAATAAATGATGTACACTTACTTCATCAGTGAGTTCTCCAAATACTGTTATGACATCTATTAAAAGGCTTGCAGTATAAAAGGACTTGATCATATTTCTGGAAGAGAAAAAAGAACTGGTCTAGTTTAAATGAAAACACTAAAATATAGTAGTACTGCTATGCAAGAGAAAATTCCAATGTTTACAAAACCACTCTGAAGTTAATGTTTTCAATAAAATCTAAGTTTGAGGACACAATGGAACTCCTTTGTTAATGTTATTAGAAGAAAGGAACAATACTTACAAGCAAATATACCAGAACTATTTTATGGTTTTGATTTTAGGAAATGCAGAGTATCATTTGAGTCCATTTCAAACCATAATGCATTTCTTTGTATTTAAATATCATAATGAAAAATTATATATTATTATTATAATTTGAATTGAGTGGAGTATATTTAAAATCAACATCATTGGGCCAGGCAGTGATTTTGGTTAAAATCAAGTCTTAAATTTTACTAAATATTAAATAATGGCTAATGAGGGAATATTTACTGAGTTGTCCTGGGTAGTTTTTCCTTCAGCCATTTTCTTTAAAAAACTAAGGACTGTATTTATGACCCAAAATTATCCTGGGGTCTCAGAAAGTATTTTTTAAAAAATTAGGTAATTAGTAACTAAACTTCTAAAATCAATTTTATGTTCCTCTTTACTTACTTGTGAAATCGCCCAGCACGATCTTCATTGTCTGCATACAAAAACATTTTCAAAGCATAATTCTCCAAATGAGCACAACCAACTATTTCTTGTGTAATAGCTTCATTATCACCCAACTGTTTCTTAAGCTAAAATAAAATCACATAAGCAGCATTTGAGTTCGTAGTATCACAATGGCCTACTTCAGCACAAATAATTGTAATAATCATTTTAAGTAAATTATATTATTTCAGTAGGACACATCATTTAAATCTTTCGAAAATAAAGATGCTCTATCTCAGCCCAAAGTATTTAAAATGAAAGCCAATTCTTATACAACTACAAACAAATAAACTTATAATAACCTGAAAGTATAATTTACCTATAAAGACCTAAACAAATAAAAAGATAATATATAACCAGGTGTCCTTGTGAAGCATCAGAGAAATATTTCTAAATAATAATATGCCAGGAATTATGTGTTACTATAAAAGTGAACTAGAAAAAAATTCTTACATAATCACATGTAATTTAAGTTTTTAATATATTCCCATTTAAATTTCTTCTATAAATACAAAAAACTATCTGTCAGAGCCCAATGTGTTAAAAAGAGATCTAAGTAAGGTATAAGATGACAAACTCAATCAGATTATGGAAGCTTCTTAAATTTAAATACCTCAAATGAATACAATTTACAACTATGTAGGTTGCCAGTGTGTATAAACCTTTACTATACATATAATAATTTGAAGTATTTAAAAAACAACACAGTTGTTATTTTTTACTCAACTGTCATAATGGGATATGATTTTCTGTAATTTCAGATTTGAACATCGTATTGTTTTTAAAAACTGCTTTTATCAAAGATGTTACAAAGTGAAAAATTAAATTTAAAAATGGTCTCCGCTAGCCTGGAGTGCATAGTGAGTTCAACACTAGCCTGACCTAAACAACAAGACATTGTCTCAACAAAAAAGCCTCAGGATTTTTCACAAAATCTACAAAGTAAATACTCATAAGTAAAGCAGTAATTTAATGTCTACAACAGATTTAAGTTGTGAAGACAAATGAAATTTTAGATTTAATTCTAAAAAAATTTTCATTGGAAGTATATTTCATCTTCAATAGAAAATATTTTGCAAGAAAATCATAATAAATTTTAAGTTTTAAAATTATAAAACAAATATATGAATAACAAATGAGTCCTCAATGGGAATAAATTTATCTTACTTGTTATTTCAACTCCTGATTCAACTCCTGATTGAACTCCCTCATAAATATAATTTTAGGCTCTCTTCATTGTAATAAAAGAACTGTTTGAGTTTTGTCTTTTCCAAAAGCTACTGCTTTTACTATTACTGTTAAGCAGTACTGTGAAATTAATAAAGAGATACATTCTCCATAAAATGTCTTTGGGAGTTGGAATTTTACAAATATATTGCTATGTGTGAATACATTCTCCCTCCAGCCCTAACATTACCCCTCAAAAAGTATTCAGGTTTATCTTGTATCTAGAGAGGCAGAGTAGAGATGAGTCCAGACAGGCTCCAGGGGCAGCTGACTTCCCTCTAGGTGCCCCCAGGCCCACCATGGGAGATTAGCTGATGACAGGAGTTCTGAGTCAGGAGGCCAGAGTCACACCAAATTAGAACACTACTACCTACAGGGGCTCAATACAACCAGCCTGGGAAGCTGTGTACTGGAGCAAGCCTTGATCTGATTATCACTTTACAGTGATTAAAAGCCATGTACAGTAGTGTGGAAGATCATGTGCAGATATCTGAAGCTACTTTAATTCAGAAATATGGTGTAACTTTTAAAAAAAATTACGTGGTTTTCCTCAGGTAGTATAATGACACTGTTGCGTGCAATCAAAGGAAAGAAATTATAAGACACACACACACACACACACAATAAAGTAGCATTTAAGACATAATCAGATAATAAATTATCTTTAACTTACAGCTTCTAATTGATCCATTAACTTCGATAAAAATTTACGACATTCAGGAGTTTTACTATCAATCTTCATTCCAGTTTGCATAGCATATAACCGACCTACAAAGAAAAAATTAAGCTGACATGAACTAGCATAGTTTACAACTTTCTTTCAAGTGACTGCTTATAATACGTACATGTTTTGCCTAACAAGCAACTTAAAATTTAAATACATTTGGGCCTGGGATTTAGCTCAGTGGTTCTGCCATCTGCCTCAAGTGCAAGGTCCCAAGTTTGATCCCCAGCACAAAAACAAAACAAAACAAAACAAAACAAAAAACAAAAACCAAAAATTAAATACATTTAAAATAAAATTTTGGTTTCCTATGGATTTATTTGTAAATATAAAGAACACAAAAATATTATCCAAATAATTTAAGAGATCATGTTATCATGTTAACAACAAATTCACCCAGCAAGACTTCCTCTTGTAGCATTAGGAAAAAAAAAAAAAAAAAAAAAAAGACCACATAGAATCTTAACCATTAAAAGGGGCTACAATTTAATTGCCAAGAAAAGACACCCATACTGCATGGAATAGTGAGAAAAGAGTCTTGAATTTGGGTTCATAGGGAGAAGGTTTTAGTAATTTTTATATATGTTTTCTCTAAATAAACACACCTTCTCACTTGAAAAAAGTTAATATAAACATTAGAAATAAGACTAAAGCTAATGAGGGTGACAAGCACCACCACTTTACTAGCTTTCCTGGTGATAAGGCCCACGAACAGTTTTGGTGAGAACTACTGTTACACTGTGTAGAAACGTCTGCAATTCACCACTTGCATGAATTCAACAATATGTCCCACGGATCAGTATCGGCACTACCACTTCCAGAATACACATGCATCATTTTAACTACAACATGTCTAGGTAGTTCTCAAATTTTCCTTTTTATAAGTGATGTTTTTCATAGTTACAAATGATACTGCCCTACCTTACTTCCTTGTGCATACACTCAAGAGTTCCCTGGACTAGATACCAAGGAGTGGAGCTCCTAGTCTTAGTGTGGTAGGTCTTTTTCATTTTGCAAGCCACTCTCAAAGTGTCCTTCAAAAATAATACCAATTTGGAGTTATAACTATAGTACATTTAAGTACCTCTTTTCCTTAAACTCACAAAAAATTGGTATTAGTCAATTTAAATTCTTGTCAATCTGAGGACTGAAAGTGGTATCCCACTGATTACTAAAAAGTTCTTAGATATTTATTAGATAGCTCTGCATTTTCTGTGAATTGCAAGTGGCTACACAAAAATATTAAGCTAGATTGGTTTTTCACAAACAGGTTTGTAGCAATTCTTTATACATTATGAAGCAGAGAATCTTGTGAAATTATTCCCATCTCTCTACTTCTTTTTAAAACCAAGCAATCATCTTCTGTTTACTTCTACTTGGTTTCTATTCTAACTAGAATTTAAACTCCATGACAATGGGGATTCTAATCCATTTAGTTTGCTGATGTACTTCTGGCATCTAGGCTAATGCTTGGTCCCCAATAAACATTTTCCAAATAGATGAATGCATGAATGAAAGAATAGCTCATTCTTTTTCACTGATTCAAATGTCACTTTTATCATTCATTATCATATATTAAGCTTCCATGGGACAGTGGTGCCCAATGGTCTACCCTACCGTTTTATTTATTAGAGCTGTAAAACAGGGCTTAGAATATGTTAGTTCTTTTAGATTTTCCAATTTAGTTGTATACCTAACAAAATCCTCTTTAAAAATGTATATGTCACCTACTTATTGAATCTGTTTGTGTTTTTAATTTCAGTGATTTTATATGAAATATCTTTAATGATTAGGCTTTAGGGATATTTAGGGTTACAGAGCTTGAAATTTATTTATTGATATATTTATTTCCTCATAAAAAATTTAAGGATTTATTCTATCTAGGCATTTAAGAGAGGAAAAAGAGTTTCAAAAATGAATACAGATTTTCACTGCCACATGGTGAAAAGTACCACTGCACACAAGCTAACAATGGACATCATTTTGACACACATACTATTTTGAGAAGCCAACAAAACAAAACAAAGCAACAAAAACACTCAACACTTAGTTTAAGTATCTATTGCTTTGATCACAAATGTGACTAAATCAACCATCCTTCCTCCCTCTTTCTTCCCTTTTCTTTTTCTCCTCTTCTCTTCACATAACCAGCCATATTCTTTCTTCAGTGTGTGATCCAGGTTCTTACTCCACTTCCCATTCTAATCAACTGCTCCAACTCTTATCCAGGTATGTATGGTCGTACACCTTCTCCTTTTCAAACCACTTATATCTCTTTTAGTTATCCAAGGTGTGTGCCAGTCTTCGCAAATCAGCTTTTTTTTTTTTTTTTCACTTAAAATTGACAACTCTGACCACTTTGTATTTGTGAGTTGTCCATGTTGGTTTTTCCAGGGTCTGTGTTACATTTCTGTTTTTTAAAATGCATCACATTCTTGAGATAATAAATATACTGGCTACAACTACTATGCCCACTCTATTAAAAGAATACTCTATTCTGAATACTGTTTCAAGATACAGAGGCTTAGCATGGTCATATTTGCAAAATTATTTGTAACTTTTTCCCTCTATCAAATGGAAGCTTAGCTTTTTGTTTGTTTTTGTAACCTCCAGAGTCTTACTATTCAGTTCCATAATTTTTTCTGGTTTCCAATTGTTTTCTTTTAGAAATTTAACTCTAACTTGTACTCCTGCCCCAAGAGATTAGCATCTATTTCAAAATCAATAAATAATCCTTTCCCTAATGATTTATGGTTCTTTCATATATTCTTTCACTTTTTATATTTTTTGGCTTTTTATTTTCACTGATATGTCATCTCCTTACATGATGTCTGTAAGTAATAATTCACTTTTTCTTTCTCCAAATTTAATTTATGCCTGTGCATTTTCCAAATTTCCTGAAGGACACTGAGTATGTTCCTTCTTATTTTGAAGAGGAAGTATTCTAGTGGAAGGTGGGTCAGTGGTATGCTAGGTTCCATGACAAGGTGCTCTTATTTTTCTAAGAGAATCACCACCTTCAGCTATATTGAAGCTGAGGCCTTAGAGACCTATATAACCCCAGGAAGCCACAAAACAAATGGCTGGGGTGTGGAAAGAAAATATTAACCTTTTTATCTTCTCTTAAAACTTTTTTATGTCTTGTATAATACATATACTACACCGACACATGATGTACAATAAATAATATAAATATGGAGATTTGTGTTCAATGTTTTGTTTTTAAATTCATAGACACGTAATAAAAAGAGGGAGAATCATGGCTCTACTGCATTCCCAAGCCTCTCAACTATGGCCTATATATAGTTTCTTGTTCTAATCTCGCCCAGGTCTCCTCTTGACATCTCCATCCCTTCTTCCCAAGTCCCCTAGAATTATTGTTGCATGGTCATCATATTCTGTGACATGTCCTCTGGTTTGTTGTCCTTTTGCAGATAACTGAGCTCCAATACTCATCTTGGACTCCACACAACCCTGAAAATAGCAATTGGGCTGACTGGTAGGTTTGAAAACTTGAATGAGCTTTGGTCCCCAAGAACATCATGGAAGACGACACTGTGGCAATGGTATGGCCAGTGAAAGACTTACTTTCAAACAAAGGAGTAATTTCTTATTTTTCGCAGCTGCTATTATTTCAGATTTCCTACAATAAGCAAGCAAATCTAATATGAATGTAAACAGAGCAACATGTTCGTAATTGTTACTGAACCTAATAATTTTATGTACTCTCCTTCAGACACAGGTGATTGTAATTAAATTACCATTCACAAACTGCTGTACAGCCAAAATAAGTGTATCATTCTTCTTTTCTTACAATATTTAACTATGCACATTACTATAAGCTTCCATTTCACTGGGTCTTTTTATACTTCTCAATTACAATCAGTCTTCTCTCCTTTTACTTCTCTAACTAGTTTTAACCTTACAGTGTATTTTTTTCAATATTACTGTTCTATCTCCTTCTATCTCTAAATTGTTTAATACATCCCTCAGTCAAAAAACATACTTACTGCATATAAACCTAACTACCTATCCCTACATCTAAGCTGCTGAAACTGCTAGATCAGTATCATTGTAAAATCATTATTTTCAACCTCAATAAGCTTAGTACTTGCCTCTCCAACATTCCAAATGATTATTTCAAACATACTTCAATGTCTTTAAAACAAATACATACAAACAAAATTTAATACACATTAATAATTCGCTATCTGTAGGTGCCCTGACATACAAATATGTTAGATATATGGTAACATGACAATTGATTTAGGATAGTACTGACAGCCTCATTTCTCTAGGAGGCCTTTCATATCATATTTTCTTACCATAATGAACACTGAACTTATATGATACGCACCACCCATGGAGCACAGCTAGGGTAGCTACCTGGTAGATCAATTTGGGGAAGAAATGTCATCCAGCATAGGTAACAAACAGCCCAGGCAGAGAAGAAATGAGGTTGATTACTAGATTTACTTTGGTTTTGAAAACATCTCAGGATTAAATGAACACACAGAAAGTTAACTCAATATGTTCTTGCCACCATAAGAAAACAATTTATGTCACTGTAGAAATGCTGTTTCTAATATGTTACTTCAATTTCCATTATTTACAATAAAAGAGAAAATATGTATGCGCATATGTCCTTTGAAGCAAAGACAAATTATTCTTGTTTCCTCATCACTACAACCACCATCATTCAATTTTTATCCTTCAGAAAGCAGACTAATAATACTTGGAATAGAGCTTAATAATATAGCTTATGAGGCCAGCTTATATATATATATCTAGTCTTCGCAATTACAGAGACATTGTTATATAGTAACATTCTTAATTGAAGCACAGGATCCTTTCAGAATTGAAAAGATTTAGAACAGAAATTAGTTTGGCTCTTTTATTTTAAAATAGATTATATAGTTTTCAATTGCTACGTACAGAAAATGTTTCAAGAGGTACATTAGTAAGTATTAGTAAAAGTGAAAAGACCTTACATCAACTTATGAAAATTTGTAAGTACCCTAAAATATTTTTGCCATAGGATGGA